TGATACTTGATTTGACTATGTTCATATTGACATCACCAGACCATTCCCTGCCTGTCATGAATATTACCTGCATTGATAGATTCACCGGCTGGCCCGAAATAATTCCCTTTACTGATATCAGTTCAAAATCAGTTGCACAGAGTTTTATAACTGGTTAGGTTCACATATTTGGTATTCCCACTACCATCACTATGGATAGAGGAACACAATTTGAATCCTCACTTTTCACTTCCCTAACCAACTTGCTTGATACAACCACTTACCATCCTGAAGCTAATGGCATGATAAAACGTTTTTCATCATTCTGTGAAAGAATTCCTGAAAACTGCACTGAACTATACTTCTTGGCTTCAGAATATTCCATTAATACTTTTAGGACTAAGAATAGCTGTAAAATCTGATTCCCAGAGTTCTGCATCTAAACTTGTATATGACAACCTTTATGTTCACCAGTTAATAATTAAACCAAATGAACCACTCTTGGATCCTGCTTCATTTGTAGATATATTGAGATTGAAGTTATCTCAAATAACATCCCCATCTCCTAGACCATCAATCTATATAACATATTTGCTAGAATCACTCAAAAACTGCAACATTGTGCTAAAGACAAACCACAACTAAACATCGCTTACAACTGACAGAGATTCTTACAAGGTAGAAAAACAGAGAAACATTTCACAGTTGTAATTAATAATAGACAAGAAAACATTTCCATTAATTGACTAAAACCAGCACATTTAGAGAATATTAGTGATGATTCATTAGAAACCCTTAGCAGACACAATCTAGAATTTCACAAATCGGTTGTCATATTAGATGATCTAAGAAACTATGTTCTTATGTAAGATAATAAAAATTCTTTCTTGAGATTGTTGTACAACTATCTTACTTGAAGGGGGGTACTTTAGTGTCTCTAATATCAGTAGCAGTTGTTAAACACAATATAAGTAGCAGCTCTAAACATAGTAGCAGTAGCAGCCCTAAATAAAACTTTTATCAGCAGCAGCTTGAATATAAAAAACACATGAACTCTAAAGTCTTCCTGGTTTTCTTCTTTTAAACAGGTGACACAAACTTTCTATGCTGAAACTAAAAGGGCTGCAAATGCTTCCACATTAAAACACATCAACACAGTAAGTCCCACTCAAATATATTCATGAACATTTCATTGTGTATGCAATTTACTTCTAACAGAAGTAACTCTTGTTATAAACTTCCCATTTGTTAATTTTTTTTTAATAAATGTTATCTTGTATTGCAAATCACTTGGTCTGTTATTTTGTGCATGTACTTTTTTCACTACTATTATTTCATGTACTATAAAATGTTCCCATAAAAAACCATATGCCTTTAATTATTGAAGTAACCAGCAGCAGATTGTGCACCTTATGTAACTTATGAATTTCAATCACTGCACATTTTTTTGAACTGACACATCCCCACAAGTGGTTCAGGCTGCTGGACAATGGGCATTCTTATTGAGCCACCATCTCTAGACAGATTACCAACCAAGATTGAAGACCTATCAGCCATTAGCAGAGCCATGGCTTCCAAACAATTTTGCCCATGCAATTTCACTCAGAAGTCCTTGGTTAACTAGTGGTATGGTTTTCAGGCACTTCCCAATGGTGCTAGATGCTGTGATTGTCTCCCCAGGATGGTATTATCAAGAAGTCAACTTCTCAACTAAGAAAATGGAGGAGTCCAGGATGAGAAACTAAAAACCAAATTGATTATATAACCACCAACAAAAAATTCAGGAATGCAATGATTCACTGCTAAATCTATCCAAGTGCTGACTGTGGAAGTGATCAATGCCCTCTTATATGTAAACTAAGAGTGAAACTGCAGAAATTGAAGATGCCTAATACAGCACCCAAACTACAATGCAACAAGCTCCTGAGCAATCCTAACCTAAAAGAAAAATATATAGACAAGGTGAAGAGAAGAAATGAGGCACACAATGGAAACTCAAAATGGGATGCACTAAGAGATGCTTTAGTGACATCAGCAAACGATATCATCCCAAAGGAGACAGGACGATGAAGAAAAAAGGAAATGGATGACTGATAAGATTAGAGACAAAAACCCCTGCCAAGAAACAGAATGGAATACAGAAAATTACACAATGAAATAAGGACCAAATGCAGGCAAGAAGAATGGCTAAATGAAAAATATGCAGAAATAGAAAGATTGAGTACTACCAACAAAAAGACATGCACAAACAAATAAGACAACTAACAGGACAGAAGACATTCTCGTCAACAGACTGTTTAAAATCAAAGGATGGAACGCTGATATTAGAGAAAGAAAAACTGCTGGAGAACTCTTCCACAATGAAAGGGAATAACCAGCAATACACAGAACTACTGATGAACCTGGAATTCTGAAAACTGAAGTAAAAGCCACACTGGCTAAATTGAACAGAAACAAGGCAGCTGAGCCTGACGGAATTGTAACAGAAATGCTGACAGCCTTAGATGACTTTGGCATAGACAAGATCACTGAAATAACAAATGATATCTACAACAGTGGGGATATACCAGAAGACCTCAGCAGACCTATCTTCATAGCTATGGCTAAGAAACCAGGCACAAACAAATATGAACTCCACTGAACAATAAGCCTGATGAGCCATGTGACAAAACTCATCATCCATATTCTGTTGAATAGAGTACGCAGCACAATCAGGCCAGAGATAGGACAAGAACAGTTCAGATTCGTTAAAGACACTGGAACAAGGAATGCGATATCCATGCTCAGAATGTTATCAGAAAGAGTGATACAGATGCAGAAGTACATATACCTGTTTCATAGACTATGCAAAGGCTTTCAACAAAATATGCCACAAAGATCTGGTGGAACTGCTCGGCAACAGTGATATATTCAGGAAAGATATCAGAATAATCAAGAACCAATACTGGCAGCAAACATCATGCATGTGCATAGGGAACGCTTTCAGTGAATATAGACAAAGATGTGTCTTCTCACCCAACCTGTTCAACTTATACAGCAAGGCAATTCTGAGAGAATTGTAAACCCTACCAGGATTTAGCATTGGCGGCCACAATCTTAGCAACATAAGATATGCAGATGACACAGTACTGATAGTAGACATGGAAAAGAAATTACAAAATCTCCTACAGAAGGTAGTGACGGAGAGTGTAAAGAAAGGACTAAGCATAAACTACAAGAAGATAGAATACATGGTCATCAGTAAGAGGAAGAGCCTGAAATGCAATTTGCAGGTCAGGAACACTAGAATCAAGAAGATGCGGAACTTTAAATATCTGGGAAGCATCTTGACAGAGGACACTAAGTGCGAGATCTGTAGATGTATTGGGATGGCCAAAGACACATTCCAAAAACTGGGCAGAGAGATAGGAGGATTTCTTTGGTAACAAAGAATACAGAGCTGCTATGTGACATCTGTCCTTCTTTATGGCAGCGAATGTTGGACAATTTTCTCAATGATGTAGAAGAGACTCTAGACAATGGAGATGTGGTTCTACAGAAGGATGCTAACGATATCATGGACCAAGTGTGTGAGCAATGATGAGGCCTTAGAGAGTGTTGCAAACAAGGAGAAGGCTTATACTTAATATCAGGAAGAGGCAGCTGAAGTTTCTGGGACACATAATGAGGAAGGAGGTCTGGAGAATCTGATACTCACGAGTTGAATAGAGGGAAAGAGAGACAAGGGAAAACAGTGCATGACATACCTGGTGAGTTTGAGCAGGTGGATGACCAAACGTGGTCTGGAGGAGGAAGCAGAGGGAAGGAGCATGCTAAGGGATGGAAGAAGATGGAGAGCCATGATTGCCTACATCCTGAAAGGACATAGCACATAAAAAGAAAGAAAGAAAGAGTTGAAACTCAGCTCTTATGGGCAGGATGCTAACACTTACTATTTGGATATTCACTTTTAATTTTTTTTTTATGAGGCACCTTATAAAAATTGGATTTTTTTTACTCATGAGACAAGAGATTATCGTTTCATCAACATGCAATAATTTATACTGGTTTTTGTTTTCTGGCTGCTAACTTTCCCTTGAAAAGAAGCAAAGTTTCATTCTTTTTATTCTTTTTTATTAGTCTTTATTTTTTATAAAATCTTCATTTTGCATGAGGCTATTAAATTAAATAAAAGCACTGGAAAAGTTGTAAACTTTTTTTTCTTCCTTTTTGTTTCTCTTTGTAATTTTACTTCTATCTATTCCCAATCTGTTTTATTCCATTTTCTTTCTTGATTCTTTTTTCCCAATCCATTTTTGTGTTCTGCATTTCTTTTTTCCTTCTTTTTTATTCCATTCTTGCTCTTTCTGTTTTCATTCATTCACAAATTCTCCCACCAATTCCCTTTGTTTTTTCTCTTTCCATACTCCTTCTGTTTCCATTTTCTCTCTTTTGATTCTTTCCCTCCTTTGTTCTGTTTCCCTCACTCCATCTCTATTCATTTTGATATACTAAATGAAACTTTAGAATTAGCTCTCAAAACAGCCATAATCAACATTCCTTTAAATTTCTGAATATTCTAATGAAAAAATACTGAATAAGAGACTCGAGGCGATAGAGATGTGGCTCTACAGAAGGATGCTAAGAATATCATAGACCAAGTGTGAAAGCAATGATTAAGTCTTAGAGAGGATGCAAACAAGGAGGAGGCTTATACTTAACACCAGGAAGAGGCAGCTGAAGTTTCTGGGATACAAAATGAGGGAAAGAGAGACAAGGTAAAAAAATGCATGACATACCTGGCAGACTTAAGCAAGTGGATGACAGAACGTGGTCTGGGGGAGGAAGCAGGGGGAAGGAATTTGTTAAGAGCTGCAAGGGATAGAGGGAAGTGGGGAGCCAAGATTGCCTACATCCTGAAAGGACATGGCACATAAAAAGAAAGATTTAGAATGGCTAGAAACATTTGGTACTTTACAATTTTCATTTCATTTTTTAGCATTTATATTAAGCAAAAAAAAGTAACCTTTTATTGAACTTACCTTCAATCTCTGACAAAAACAACTCCCCATACATTTGAAAGTAAGGCTTTTTTAAAACTCCTTTAAGCAATTCTATTGAAAATGGGGTACTTGGATAAAGGATAGCCTGAGATGCAATGCCATAAGCAACCATGAATACAAATAAAATTGCCACAAAATAGATAAGATCCTGAACCTGAAACAAGAAAAAAATTTTTGATATATAAAAACAAAAGTTGAAACTTTCAAAATAAAGAATATTAATTCACATAAATATTATAAATACTTTTATGCGTTTGTTTAAAAAAGATAAAAAAAAATTAAAATGCTTACCATTTTCTTAATCATCACCAATTTGGGACCAAGTTCTTTGTGTACTGAGAAAATGTGTAGGACGCGGAAATAGAACAAAATAAGATTGACGCAAAGAACCACCCGAGCATTGTCAAGCTGTTCAAAGTATCTTGTGGTAATGCCAATCAAAAACAGTAAAATATTAATAATATCAACAATATTCCATATGTCTGTGAAGTAGTTGGCGATCTTGATTCGTATTGAACTTGAATATTTAGCCAAAAT